ATCACACATCTGGCTTTGTGTCTAAAGTAGGACTAGAACTCACAGTCTCCTGGTTTTAGCCTTATGCCTAAGCCACTAGACCAGTGGTTCTCAACCTGTGGGTCGGGACCCCATTTGGGGTCGAACGACCATTTCACAGGGGTTGCCAAACAACGCAGTCCGCCATTTTTTCCCCCTTTTCCTTAGCTGTACTTCTCCTTTTAATTCTATTGGTTTTTGAAAGCCAATAGAATAGACTCTCTTGAATAGAGTCTAATTCTGTTGGCTTTCAAAAGCCAATAGGAATTGTCCAGGCTGTCTCTGCCCTGCTGAGCCCGCCAAAAGTCCCATTCTGCAAATGGTGCTGCACCAGTTGAGTAGTCCTTGACTTACGATCAGTTGAGTAGTCCTTGACTTACGACCGGTTGGGGGGTCGCGGCATTAAAAAGGTTGAGAACCACTGCACTAGACCAAACTGGCTCTTTAATGACTGTACTCAGATAGAAAAGTTTCATTTGAAGGCTCAAAGAATGTAGTGAGTCAGATGATACAACACAGTGAACTATGACAATGTTAGATGAAAACAGATTTTAGACAGTGATTGTTTATGTGTCTTTATTCTCTTCATAATCCCTTATCTTGCACATCCAAAACTTAAGTGTTTGCAACAATCGTTTTTAAAGCGTTTATCTGGATGAAAAAGTTAATAACTGAAACACTCTTGACAGAGGCTTCCCTGAGGAAATTCATAGTAGTTACATCTATCCTTCATAATTATTAGCCAAGATGCCAATGCCATACAGAATGCACCAGGTTCAACAGATATTGTAAGCAAATACATTTCCAAGCTAGCAGCTTATTTGTGGTCATTTTCTGGGCTAGAGCAATACAGAGAACCATGAAATGACTGGAGTTTATATTAGAATGTGGCTCACTAGTTTACCATGACTTTCCTTTAATTGTTGGTCCAAATATTTGAGAGTATCCACTTGAGGAAAATTGCCCAAGGTGAGCTTAGAAAGGTTTTAGAATTTGCCTGTGAATTCCATCTATACTTGCTGAAAAAAGCCACCTCAAAAAGGCTTTGGAATTCTGGAGGAAAGATGACAAGTTTCAAGGGTCTCTTTCCACTGTCTCTCCCTTTTATTCATATTTATGTATAATTTCTGTATTGCATTTGTATGTCAGGAAGCATACTTAGGCTGGTAGTAGTCTGCTAAATTCATCTCATCAAGTGTTATGAATTAGGCAAGGCTGAAAGGGTTTGAAATGTCATTCAGTAAGATCCATATTCTGTTATAGACTTGATCCCAGATGTCTCCAATCTAAATCAGTTAACCATTATGTTGTACTAGCTCCTGTATTTGTCACATTCCTAGAAAGGAATCTATTCATTCATCTCTTTGTCCCCTACTTGTTTCTCTTTTTTTTAATTCTTTCCCCATGTGCCTATTTGAATCTCTATTTTGAGATATTACATCATAATTGTATCACTGCATTTTGTATTATGTCCCAATCTGCATTAATTATCTTGATAATCTTGTTCTGGAACATCCTGTCCCCACCAAAACTTAATAGAAATAGAAGAAATGTTGGTTGGCATACTTGTTTTCTTACTAGGTGTATATGAAATACTTTATTTGCATGTGAATAAGACATTCTTGCAATACTTGAGTGTGGTAAAATACACAGGGTGTTGCCCTTACTGTAATGTTGGCAGTAATACACTGAGAAATTGTTCTCAGCCTACTCCACTTTTTCATAAGTTACTTAATCTACACTGGCCAATAGCTTAGGACTTAGGTTCACCCAATATGGTGATCCGTAAACTAATCATCCACATTTTAGCCAGTCCAGCACATCAAAAATTGGGGAAATATCTAACTTAACTCTACTGAGGTGTTACCATCCCCCTCCCATGAACAAAAGATAAACAATTCTTTACATATTAATTTATTTAAAAAATATATAGTCCAATCATATTGCCTTCAGGCAGAATTCTCTTTCTGTTGATAACCCCCTCCCCGGGGCCTACTAAGGCAACTTTGGGTGGCATAAGGTCTTTGTAGCTTTGGAGAACACTCTTCTGTGGCATCTGCAGCCTCCAAAACCATACAAAAGCATGCTCTGCTCTCACACTATTTTTGGAGGTCCAGAGGTCACATGAGAGCACAATCTGGAGGCTGCACGAGAATATACCCCATTTCCACGCAGCCTCCACAGCCCCCCAAAATATGCAAGAACAGGGTACGCTTTCAAGAATAGTTGTTGTCAAGGGCTGGTGAATGTTGTGTGTCACCCAAATGTCGTGCTGTGTCATCTTTGACACTTGTGAATAAGTTTGCCATCACTTTTTTAGTCATAAACCAAGTTTTTCTGATTAATTTGTGGAAAGCCAGCCAACTGTGTTAATTCTACAAGCCATAGTTAGTTTAACCAAGTTACATGGGTTGCATCAATTACCGACTCCTTAGATGAAACCTAATAACCAACTGCACATGATTGTTGCAAATAGATGTCTTAAAAGTTTAAAAATATAAAACTTAAAACTGTGGACAAAGTAAAGGTCCCCTGAGAGGGAATATTCTAACTTCTTCATCGCAACTACCTTAACATCTTGGATTTGTTCACTGATTTGTCTGGGTAACTTTTCCTTTTAATCAAGCATGGAATTAGCTATGTCTCTCTGATTTTTTAACATTTTTACCCAGTGCAAATTAGTGCATAATACTGCTTCCAGGTCCTTCAGTAAGAGATTATGATGTTTTAAGCATGCAAACAACTTGCACAGACTGGAACTATGTAAGCTGTGTTAGCACTTGGCATAAGTCCAGCTGTATGTTGTGCCAAGTCTGCTAATAGAAATGTTTATTAAAGAATGGTAAGTGCAATTTCCAAAGTAAACAAACATCCTGGGACAATGATTGTTGTTGTTTTTTAACCTAAAACCTTTGAATTTCAATATTATTAATGAAATAAGATTTTCCACCAATAATAAAAGTGGGATAAAAACAACTAATAATTACCTTAAGTAACATAGACTTTCCTCTTGTGATCTAAAATCCAATGAACAATGAAAAAGCAACCCAAAACTACTTTTCAAAGGAGAAGAACAATCCATGCTTGGTTTAAAACTTTTCTTTTTAAATTTTACATCATGTTGGGTGGTTTGGCAAATCATTTTTCTCTTCTATATACAGCACAGGCTACAAAAATGCTCTTTCCAATGGCTGAGAGAGTAAAAAAAGGGAATACAAGTGGAATGCCATCGTAAGGTATCCTATATTTTAAATAGAAAAAAATAAGACACAAATGTTTAGATAACATATTTACTTTTAGCAAAGTCTTGAGTTGTGATTAAATAGCTGCATAGTATAAGGGGATAAAATGAAGACATTCCCATTATCCAAACTAAACAACTTACTATGTCGTATGAATATTTTTAAACTATGCTAGAAATTCAGCCAGAGTTAAGCATCCCACGTTTGCAGTCTGTAAACTACAATATTGAACTCTATAAGTCTCTCAGAAACACCACTGCAATTCCTGATTTTATTAATGTAAGAAGTGCAACTACAGAAGAGTTTCAGTAGTGAATGAGACATGATGCTCGTGTTCTCCAACCTCTTTTTAAAAATTGCTAATTATAGTATCTTATCACTACCTATAGCCATCTCTTTAAGAACTTGAGGAAGCGAGATCTAAATACTGAGTCTCTCTGTAGTACAATTACTATGCACAACACAATGGCATCCTCCATCCTTGCAATTATATGTGGTTTAGAAACAAATCAAGAGGCTTACTATAAATGGCCCTTTTGCTTGGGCCACTGTAATGAAAAGTATCGCCTTTTTGTTTTCTGAAAGACTCTAACAGCTATTTATAAGCATCTCTAGCCAGCTGATTGCATCACTGGAAAGGGCTATTGTTTGGATGCTGTGTTTGATGCTGTGTTTAGCCTCAAAAATCAGCAGTTAATAAAAAGGAAGAGCAAGTAATTTTTAATGTTAATGTTATTTTTTTTCATCTTCTTGTCTTCTAATGGCAGCTAGGTATACAGCATGTCCATTTATATGGGATGCACTTGTGAAGAAGATGAACCTAGAACCAAAAAGATTTCTGAAACTTGGGTCTATGTGAGTGATGAATTTGAAAGGGCATGTGCTAATATCCATTACAGAAAGAGGCTTTGTCTCTTGACATGCTATTCTTTATAGTCACTTGGCCATTGTCATCTCCAGGATATCATGGAGATAACTGGAATAGAAAAAAGTGTCTTGTTCAATAATATTTGCTTGTAGGTAGTCCTTAACATTCTCAATAAAAAGGAAATAGTATAAACTCGGAAAACACTGAATTCATCCTAGAAGCCCATCAGGCTACCCATCTCCTTTGCGCAATTATCAGCATTAACAGCATTTTATTGCTTTCATGACTGAAAGGGCTACTTTTCACCTGCAAGTCGTCACAGGATATCCCTGAAAATATAGCAGTTAAGTGTACTGATTCACAGGCTGAATTATCCATGCATCATATGGAATGTATACAGCAGTGATGGTGAACCTTTTAGAGACCAAGTGCCCAAACTGCAACCCAAAACCCACTTATGCATTGTCGGGTGCCGGGTGGGTGTGGCCCATTGGCTGGGTGTGGCCCATTAGCTAGATGGTAACGGAAGACTGGATGGGACTAAAAAGTTCAATCAATCAATTCCAACTTTGCAAGATTTTTTTTCCCACGAGAAGTTGAAATTGATCGATTGAACCTGTTTTTTTGTACACGGTGGCGGAGGCCTAAAGCGAAAAGGTTTTATAAAACCCAGCTGAAGGCCTAGGACTGGGGTGACGGTGCGCGTGCCCACAGAGAGGGCTCTGAGTGCCGCCTCTGGCACCCGTGCCATAGGTTCGCCACCACTGGTATATAGCTATACTCAGCTCAAGTGTGCAGAGAATTATTACCAATGACGTAGTCTACAATTTTATTTAGATCAAAGTCTAATATTATAAGGTTACTATTATAAAAATATTGCATTTATATAACTCATTTGTAAAAAATGTAATATCAATGTTAATCACAAACTCTCTATAATGTAGCCAGTATTAGTATCCATTACTAATGGATATTATGCAATTCCTTCTCCAAGGAAATCTGTGCAAAGCCTGTCATAAATTAATGGCAAAGAAGGATTTGATTTCAGCTGTTATTCTTAAATCCTAACTCATTTAGCCAGATTTAGATTTGTGTCCAGAAAAGCCCTCAGTGGCCTAAATTATCCAGAAGCCGGTTTGCTTTGACAGGTAGGCAAGATTTTGTCCTTAATTCAGGTTACAGTGAGTTGTTACAAACAATTATTGCAATTATCCTATTTCACTTAACAGAAATTTTAGGTTCAATTGCGGTCTTAAGTGGAGGACTTCCTGTAGTTTACAGCAGTGTTTCTCAACCTTGGCAACTTTAAGACAGATGGATCTCAATTCCCAGAGTTCCCTGGCTGCACCTAAACGACCGTGCAACCACACCCACAGTTCAGGTTTTGTCTACAAGTGTCAAAAGAGATATTAATTAGGCCCGCAAATACGCACCCAGGTTGCACCTTAACTTAAAAGGCTGCAGTTCTGCAGCAGATGGCAGCATCCAGCTGACCTTCAATACTATGCAGGGTCACAAGGAACGACTCCTCGAATCTAGGATCACCAGGAAAGCCCAGGCATGTAGACTAGCCGGGGAAGAGAGAACGGAAACAACAGCCGGCCCCTCCGCAGCGCTGCCATTGTCAAGGAAACGACCATTTGCGCCTCTGCAGAGTTACCAGTAGGACTCCACGGGATGGTCACCTGGGCCTTTCGAAACAGGCCGGTACTCCTATTGAGCTCAGCTAGGCTGACTTCAATCCGGCCACCCCCCTCCCCAAACCTCATCCCCCCAAAGAGGCAGAGGCCTATTTTTACGAAGTCCTGCAGAACCGAGAGAAATCCCGGCCTTACGCGTCCAGGAAGAGAACGAAGCGGCGGCTCCGGCAGGGGGCGCTGTGCGGGGTCTCCTTGCCCTGTCGGCTTTGACCCATCCCGGCCGCCTTAGTAGGAGCTCCCGGCCCGGCCGTCGCCGAGGCTGCTCGGCCTCCAGAGGGGATTCAGCGGAGCGGCTGCTCTCCTGAGGCCAGGCGCGTCGCCCAGGCAACCGCTTGCTCCCTCCCCGCCAGGAACCATGTTCACCAGCACGGGCTCCAGCGGGCTGTGTAAGTACCCACGCGCCTCGCCCGCCCGGTAGGAGGGGCCGCGCCACGGGGCAAAAGGTCGGGAGCCGAGCGGCATGATGAGGTGGTTCCTCTTTTCCCTCCTTAGCGCTGGGAACGTCCTCTCCCTTTGGGGGCTGAACCTCCATCCTGGAGCCCTTTCCCGGCCCGAGTGCCTGCCAGGGGAGGAACGTGGCTTTAAAGTCATAGGGCAGGGCTTCCCCCGCCATCCTTGGCAAATTTAAGACTTGTGGACTTCAATTCCCAGAATTCCTCAGCCTGCTATGTTGCAGGTTGGATACCATGCTGGCTTGCTGAGGAATTCTGGGAGTTGAAGTCTATAAGTATTAACGTTGCGAAGGTTGGAGATCTCTGGTTTAAGGAAAATCTCGAGCGACTCTCGCGGTTAAGTGAGGGGTCTCCAAACTGGCTGGGGAATTCTGGGAGTTGAAGTGCACACGTCTTAAAAGTTGCGAAGTTTGGAGACCCCCCCCCTGGGTTTAATTAATCTGAGTAGAGGTAAAGCAGGTCTCTCCTTTTTTGCCAGTCCATTCAGCTTTGTTGTATGCTTTCAGCGAGGATGTTGCTTTGTGTCTTCCCTCAGGGTGAATCTTGCAAGTGAAGAGAAACATAGCTCCTTATCTTTTTTTTTGTTTATAATTGGATTTATACTACAGGTAGTCCTCGACTTACGACCACAATTGAACCCAACATTTAAGTCGCTAAATGAGATTTGTTAAGTGAGTTTTGCCCCATTTTACAACTACTCTTGCCACAGTTGCTAAGTGAATCATTGCAGTTAAGTTAGTAGTCTGGTTGTTAAGTGAATCTGACTTCCCCATTGACTTTGCTTGTTGGAAGGTTGCAAACGTGATCATATGACCCTGGGACACTGCAACGGTAATAAATACGAATCAGTTGCCAAGCGTCTGAATTGTGATCACATTCTCATGGGAATGCTGCAATGGTCATAAGTATGAAAAAGGGTCATAAGTCACTTTTTTCAATGCTGTTGTAACTTTGAGCAGACACTGAACAAACTTGTAAGTCAAGGACTACCTGTACTCCATCTTTTCTCTCAGTGACCATTCGGGTGGCTTGGAACGGGAAAATACAAAATGTAAACAGAACAGTTAGAATCAAAATCTATCATTTAAGTAACAAACACTTGATGGAAGAGATGTGGTTTCCCCAGCTTTCTAATTTTGAGAGTCAAGTGGGTGACCTTAAGGGTTTCTCAACCTTAGCAACTTTAAGAGATATGAACTTCAACCCCCAGAATTCCTAGCCAGGCTTGTTAATGCAACCTGTTCTTGCATACCAATAATGGAGTTTGCAACAACAAGGGTACCTTTACTTCTACTAGTAGGTTTTTAGTAGGAGAGATAGGCAGTCTGTAAGCTGTATAGTCAGGCCTTATAGATCAGTATGGATACTGCTAAGACAGATCTTTCATTACGGGAATCACATGTTTCCTGTATATTGTATCTGTCAGCAACCTAGAAGTTGCATTTTGCACAAGTTGAACTTTCTGGATCTACTTCAAGGGAAGCTCCACATGCATTGCTATAGTCAATTTGGTTGGTAACAAGGACTGAATAACTGCCACTAAATCTGGCTGGTTCGGGAAAGATTGCAGTTGGCATTCTGATCATAATTGTGTAAACATGCTCCTCACCACAACTGCTACTTGAAAGTCCACTTACAGCTGGGATTAGGGAGTACATTCAAACTACAAACTTGCTTCTGCTTGGAGAGCACAAACCCATACAGAATAAGCATCCCATTGATACCAAATTCAGCTTTTTGTTAACAACACTACTGGGGTTCTTTCAGATATAAATTCTATTGAATAAACTTATTCTGAACAATCATGCATAGGATTGCGCCAGCAGGGATTAAAATAAATTTTAAGTGTGACCTAATTAAATTGCCTAGTCAATGGTTTTAAGCCACTATAAATAGCTATGTTTGCATAAATACACTAAACCATGCACTATGGTTTAGAAACCACAGTGACAGGGTTCACAAAACATTAAGCCAAAACCAGATTAACTACCTTAAAGTTTAATGTGGTATGTGAATAAAGCCTGTAACTACATTTCCAAGACTCACTAGATACAATTGTACAACACCTTTAACTGGACTATTTCTAGGCCAGTGTGTTGAACAAATATAGAAACCTGCCAGTTCAGGTAAGAAACTGTTCTAACACCTTTCCCCAGTTAAATGATATTGTACAACTCAGGAATCTAACAACTTTGAGCTGGTTGTACACTGCTCAATTCTCAGGTAAACTAAGCAAAAGTGGAAAGTGGCTAACAATGCATGTTAAAAATTAGAAGCTGAGTGCTCTTTACAAAAAAAATCTACAATATGGTAATTAGTTGAACGTAGTAATGGTCAGTTTGATATTTCCTTTTTTGATAATTATCTTGAACTAAAATAAAGCACAATGTTCAGATAAGAATATGGTTTACTAAATAGAATGTCTTCAAGTTTCTACATGGTTAGTGAATTATATATGAGCCCAGTGCTTAAAGTATATTTATAGTCAGTGCTTTTTTTTTCTAAAAAAAAAAAAAAGGTGCCGGAACTCACACACGTCACATAACCTGCCTTGCCTATCCTACAAGGTTCCATCCAAAAAAGGTGCCAGAACTCCATTCTGGGCGTTCTATGAGAAAAAGAGCCCTGTTTATAGTCATTTAAATTGGACCAGATTAAAAAAGCATTAATGAAGATTTGAAAAATCTTGGTATGTGATGCTAAAGTGCTTTTATAAAAAGTGCTTGTTGATGCAGATAACATATGAGGATATCCACTTACCATGTGCTATGTTCATATCCATGAGCAGAGCTTGTTTTAATCCTGATTTGTTGAAAAGTGTACAAAAGTGCGCTAAGGCTAAACAAGGGCAAAATAAGAATAACTTAATTTACGCATTGTTTTCAAGTAGAGCTTATTCATTAACATCTGTATTTAGATCTCTTAATTCCATATCAAAACATCCTTTCCTAAATAATATTAATGTTTTTTTCCTCTTGGAACTGTTAACATTTTGATGCAGTTTTAAGAGGCGTTGTTTAAATAGTATTTTTCTACCAGACTGTCACTTTTTCATACTATTCTAGGAAATCATAATATATATTGCAATATTTCTTAAATCTTTTAAAATGGCACGTACCCGTACTTTAAAATGTTTTCCTAATCTTGAGATTTTATAACAAAAGGACTCTGCTCTTTAATTCAGTTGTTTAATTTATACAGTGGATCAGTGTTACTCTAAAATGGAATTTATGCCCCTTTCATTTATATGAGAGCGGAATTTGAGTTATTCAGTGGGTAGAATGTGGAATGTGTTCACAAGAGATTAGAATATAACAATCAGAATGTTAAACTGCAGCATTTTGGATAAATTATTAAACTCATCTATACTTCTATGTACAATGTGGTAACAAAAATTATTTTAATAAAGTAACAGGAAATAAAACACCAAATAAGAATCACTGTGTTTTAATAGGTAGAGCATAAGTTATGCATAAATAAAACAGTTAAATTAACCTGTAATTTATTGCATAAATAAAGCAGTAAAATTAACCTGTAATTTACTGCATAAATAAAGCAGTAAAATCACTAAAATATTGCACTCATGGTAGAAATTAATATGAACGTCTATCATTTCATCTCACCTTCCATATTAAGCCTATGATTAGATATAAATCCCACAAGCTACTTTTTCTTTCCAGTTAATTAAAAAAGGAAGCTGAGGTATTCATTATATACAAAAATGCCCTAAGCCACAAAGGAGCTTTCCAGGCATTCTTAACAAATGGAAATAATAGCTGGCTATAACCCAATGCTTTGCCCAAAGGAATGCTACTAATCAAGAAAAATGAAAACAAAACAACTTAGAATGATAGGGAACGTCCAGTGTTGCTTGATAGCATAGCAAGGAAAATCCCAGTGATTTTGTGATAAGGTGAGCCTTCCCTGGCAGTTATTTTACAAGAGCTCCCAAAATATGTTCTCAAAATCCCAAAGACACTCATTGACTTCCACAAGTAATTAATTCCTACCTTAATGACTAGTGGTATCTTTGGAAAGACAATAGAGATACTTCTGTCAGATCCCTTGCCTTAGAAGCAATCTGCCTCATTTAAATTACAGCATCTCAGATGGATATTGAGGACATTTGGGAGAAAAGAAAAAAAAAACATTTACTCCATTGTAAATATCCTTTTTTTGTTTGTTTGTTTTCAGAGCTCAGGTTGATTTCATCTAACAATTCATTTATCTTATAGAAAGAATAGAAATTCATTCTTATATTAGAACACTCTTTGATAATAAGTTTCTTCTGTTTCTATTCTGTGCATCTGTGTGCTGTTGGGCTGAGCATTTTTTTAAAAATGCTTTTAAAAATGCTTATGCTAAGAACATTGGGTCATCTATCTTAAAATGACAATATTGAAAGCAATTTCTTTTCCTTTAAATCATATTTTAAAAGTACATCAGGTTTTTTTGTTAGCACACTTTATAAAGCTCTAACTTGTTTGTGTGTTTCAATCTGATTGAAAAGAAAGAAAATGTTGTATAGTTCCAGGGCATTCCTATGGGAGACTGGAATTTTGTTTCTTGCAGTCATTCTCTGGATTCAGACACCAGGTTGAACTAAACTTTCCCAGAGATACTTAAAATTCCACATCATTTTTTGCTTAGTTTGAGCATTCGAAATGAATTAAGTGGTTTCTGCATGTGCCTAGTTGGTTTTGTTTATACAACTTGAACCAAAATTTGGGTAAAATGAGTTGAAAAGTTCTTTTAGCAATCTAACAGATTTAATTGTAATCATAAATCTTTTTTTTAAAAAAAGTACATAGCATGATTGTTTTTTTAAACTGTTTTAAGAATCATCACATAACTTTATTGCATATGCGTGCATTTTGTTTTCTTTTGAAGATAAAGCACCTCTGTCAAAGGGTCTATTAATAATACCAAGCACCTTCTCATTACTGCTGGCTCTACTTTTTCAGCATTATCAAAAGTTCTTTACCTACAATCTGCAAGCAGTAAAAGAGGAATTTCAGGTAAGCAGCAATTGATGTATAATATTGTGATATGGGATAAACATAAAAAAGCGGTATAGGGGCTAGTGTTCTTTAAATTTTTTATTGTGAGCTGTGGTGTGAATATTTTGAACTTTAAATTTGGAATGATATAGCACTCCATATCACAACCAATAGCAGAGCAGCATTCATGTAAAATGTAGATATGTGAGAAATTAGTTGTGGCTGCGGTGTAGGAGGAGGAAGTCTCTATTTTCTTGTTAGCTTTGTTAACCAATTAGTATGTTAAATTTTTTACAGTTACAATCAGATAACATTTTTTTCAAAGGTGATGGGTTACATCCAAAGAGGTTATGCTGGTAACTATGGAGAAAAACAAATTGTTCCAAGTGTATTTCAGATGAATGGAACTTGAGTTGACAGTAGTTATACTGCTAGATGTTTTGCTTTATACATGATACTAGGTGGCATGTCTAAGCCCAGGACACCACCCCCTATACATCTAAATCCATGGGTTATGGTCTGCTTCAGACAGTTTTTTTCAGCAAAATTCCTGGCCTAAAAAATAAGTGTATATTTGCACACACATTTTTGGGAGAAAGAAGAAGTTTATTCTTTGTTGTGTATTAAAACTGAAAGGATGGGGCTATGGGCTCATCTTATTTTTCTTTTTCTCCCACCCTCAAATTGATATAGAGATAATGAAATTATATTAATACTTGTGACAGTGATAACTTGTGCCTTTAAGGAGAAGTCCCAAGCGTTTAGAAAATGATGGAATGAACAAGTGGTGAGGAATTTGAGTCTTCCTAGTACCAGTTTCTGCTTTTCTCTCAATAGTGGTTCTTTTTACTTTCATGCTCTCTTTCAACCTGGACTTAACTTCCTGGATGAAAGAAAAATGATGCATGCAGCAAATGGGGGAAAGTCCTCCTTGTTTCATATCAGACAGAGATCTGTTCCCTCTCCCTGCTGTGTTTTTAATTGAGATAGAAAAAATTATAGGTCTGGAGCTTAGTCTGAAATGAATATCTGATATCTGATATTAGGTCCGCAAGGAAAAAAAGTTAACATGGGCAAAATATTTATAGCTACGTTTAGCACACTTTAAAGCCTGGGTAGCTGAAGCATGCTAACATTCTTCATTTACTTGTATCTTTAAATGGAGATAAAAGGTAATACTTGTTCCAACAATAGCAGTGTCCTTGCTAGAAGGATTCTTTTTGACATCTATTAACAGCATGTTGTGACCTTGTATGTTTTACACATTTACTGTGCTATGGGCTGATGGTTTTTGGAGTGTAGGAAGAACTTCTGTAGGTAAATGGAGTAGAACTATAACTGGAAAATGTGACTTCAGTTACTATATCATTTATAAAGTGAAGGTTATAAGGAAAAGAATCTACTCATATAAGCCTTTTCTTCTGGTGAAATAGCTTAGGGAAAAGAGTAGTTGACATTTGGAAGCTACATTTTGTCATCTTTCATTATGACACAGACATGTTTTGGAGTTGGCAGGAGGTAGACTCTGCCTACTGTCCCTTAACAAAAATGGGGGGAGCTGAATTTCAGTGACAAACCACCAGAAATGCTGATGCTGCTTCCTGCCATTTCATGATAAAAAAAAATGAAACATTCGTGTTCAAACTTATATTTAATTGTAACACTTCATTGTCTTCAGAAATATAGAAGGAAATTTGTAGAAAACCTTGCCCCCATCTGTCATTGCAATATTATCCTGCCTGCTGCATCTCTCTTCTCTTTTTTAAAGTTCATCTCCCAGCTGCTAAAGTTTGTCTGCTATATATTAAATAATTTCCATAAAATGCAAGTGGAAACTATGACTACTGTTTATTACCTTTCAGATTTGGAGGTTGCTCTGTGGACGAACAGTGTGTCTTGATCTTAAAGACACTTTCTGCAGTAGTTTACTTATCTACAACTTCAGAATATTTGAAAGGCGATATGGCAGTAGAAAATTTTCAGTAAGTTCATATTCTGGTTTTGTTCTCATATTTCGTAAGTTATATACTTACGTTCATTATTTGTCTATCTTTTTCCTCTTCCAGTATTTATCACAAAAGGTATTCAAAAATTCTAGGGAGCCATTTTTATATTTCCATTTAGAAAATTCATTTTTAAGTAATAGAGTAAGCAAAATGATAGTGAACCCATGCTGCCTTTATAGTTGTTGTTTTTTTTCTGTAATACAGATAGTCCTCAACACAACTAGGATCAAAATCTTGGTTGTAGAGCATAGCAGTTAAGCGAGATGTCACATAACTGCTTCATTCAACAGTTGCAATCATTAAATCATCTTGCAGGTCATTAAGCAGACAAGAGTCACAAATAAGGAACATAGGGATCCCTTGGTTGTAAGGGAGATATGGGAGCCCAGCAAGTAACTCTCCGCTCAGAGACTGAAAGTCCTCCCTATTAAAATCCAAGCAGAATTTTCAGTCCCTGAGCAGAGAGAAGCTCACACATGGCCTATAATGGACCTCTTGTGCTCTTTTCCAGCTCTCTGAGGCACCCTGCACTCCTTAGCTTACTGCATTGCCTCTCTGGTCATGGGATGAAAATCCTGCTTGGATTTGGGCTCCTTCTCGCCCTGGGGACTGGCTGCAAGAGCTCCCGGCCAAAGGATTTCAGCCTTGTGCCTGCTTGGATTTCGGCACAGAGCTCTTCAGGCAGCGGTAACTTGCAATCTTCTTTGACTTTGACCTCCTCATTGATGGTGATCACATGATCATGATGTGCTTAACAACCTGTCATAAGTGCAAACAAGTTGCTAAGCACCCAGATCGCAATCATGTGACCGTGGAGAGGTGGTGCAACAGTCAGAAGTGCTTTATACACTGTAAAGCACCCTTTCCAAGGCTGTCATTAATTTGGATTGTCATTAAGTGAACCATCATAAGTTGAGAATTACTTATCTAATGTTATACATCAGCGGTCCATAACATCTGCAGCTTGGCAGCCCGGCTATGGGATAGGGGGGAACCAGACCACGTGAGTGGCAGGCCGTGCACACCCAGGTATGCATTTCAATTTGCACAAGCAGTGGGCCAGCAGTACATGCATGCCACACAGCTCAAGTGCAAGTGAGTTGAGTTGTGCACACTTGCACTCCGGCCTGCTTCTCACGTGGCCTAGTTCTGAATAGGCCTGGGGATTGGGGGCCCCTGTTATACATATATTTCACTGTTTTTATTTGTCTGTATTATAACCATTTTGGCTCTACTGACATATATATAGTAGTATGTAGCAGCCTGAATGAATAAATGGCCATTCTATTCTAAGGCAGCAGCTGAAGATGCACTCTCTGTGTAAGTGCATGAGTATGCACTGAAGTGTAAAAATTGGGTCTTGGTTTGCTCCTGTTCTATCTTGCAGAAATCCACAAGAAGATATGTTTAGAGATCAGTGATAAAGCTCCTAGACAGCAGGAACCTGGACAGAATTCAGCTAACAGAGCAATTTGCTCTGAGGTTTTAAAAGTTACCTATATCCTCATCCAACATGTATCACTTATTTAGAGTGCTGTTTTCTTGAGAATAGACATAAATATTCAAAAGACTAGCTCTCTCATTTGTTGAACTTCACACTCTTATTTCTGATGTGTTTCTGGGTAAGAATACGTTGATACTTCCTAAAAAGTAGGAAGGCCTGTTTGTGACATTACTGTATTGTAATTGCTTCTTGTGGATTCCATGCCAGAGTATAGTGCTCTAATTTCAGGGGCTCTAGATTATTAGTATTTTCTTAGATTATTAATTATTATTATTAGGTCCTGGCCTGATGTCAAAGTTTATGCAGATACTGTACTTTGTAGCTCTCTGCATGCCTCCCTGTGACCCCCAGGTTTCCCAGAGGCCTTCTTTACAAAGCTGTGCTATGCTTATCAGTTGAAGCCAGGGCTGTAACTACTTTGTAGACTAATTCCATGTATTTGTTACAATTCATAAGCAGTACTGTTACCTTTTTCTTTAATTAGCATTAAAATACTTCAATTAGCTTTAAAGGTTTTAATTACTAGATGAAAATGGCATGTAACAAAATAATATGCTGCCACGTCACGTGACATCGCGCAATGTATCAGGACAGTTTTGCCATTGCTGACAATGGGGTGGGCGCTGCTTCCGGATGACGTGTCCGGCCCATGGGCCGGCAGTTTGACACCCCTGGTATAGATCATGGTTGTACAACATTTGGCTTACCAAGGCACATTGAGTGAAGAGGAGTTGTCTTGTCACATATAAAACATATAGTTAATGTATATAAATATATTAGGAAATAAAGGAAATAAACTTTTTTTTCTTTGTTATCTTGCGGGGCCATATTACTAGCTGTCCAGGGCCACATGCGACCTGTGGGCCATGTGTGGTGTAAATACACTGTTAAAGCTTGCAAACTACCTGGACAGTTCATTCCATTTCATTGTGAATGCTGTGGAAGAATCACAGATAGCTTACGTGTTGTATATGAAATTAATGCATAACGTATATCTGGTTGCAGAATTGTAGTTCCCAGAAAATGAAAATTGTCGTCATCAGCCATTCAGTAGTGTCTGACCCTCGGTCACTCTATGGATCAGCACTGTTCATGCCCCTCTGTCTTGCACCGCTTCCTTCAGATCCTTCATGGTCATTCCAGTGTCATCTTTTATAGTGTCTAGCCAGTAAGTGCTAGGGCAGCCCCTTCTCTTTTTTCTGATCACTCCCAGCATGATTGACTTTTCCAGTGGTTCTCAGATAATGCAGCATTAAGACTCATTGCCTAACATGACTGATTATTAGGCAAAATCAGATACAATTCCTGTAATATAAATGCTCTTATTTTATCAGTAGCCTGAACATTCAACTCTGCAGATTCAGTAAGTGAGTTCTGGATGCTGCTGCAAAACCTTTGTTTGGTAGAGTGTAGTCTAACATTGTAATCCTAATTTCTCTACATAAATATATCTTTAGATTTAGTTCTTTGGGTACAGTCCATTTTCTGTGAGCATGCTGAATGGGTAATCATCCTATTTAACATTGTATTATTTTTAATGAATGATTTTTTAGCTATAAAAGGTGGATAGTTTGTGATTATGAATTTTTTTTTTAATTTTTTTCAGTCATTTTTGTTGGGCTCCTGGATGCTATCAGTGATGTTTGATTTTGTCCTGGTAGAAGCTATTGAATATTCTTTTGGCTTCAACATCAGCAGCTTACCTTCAGGATTGTAAGTGGCTATTAAGGGACATTCATATCTTTTTGTATCTTAAATATTATTTCTAGAGCAGTGGTTCTCAACCTGTGGTCGGGACCCATTTGGGGTCGAACGACCATTTCACGGGGGTCGCCAAACAACGCAGTCCGCCATTTTTTTCCTCTTTTCCTTCGCTGTGCTATTCCCTTTTATTCTATTGGCTTTTGAAAGCCAATAGAATAGACTCTCTTGAATAGAGTCTAATTCTATTGGCTTTCAAATACCAATAGGAATTGTCCAGGCTGTCTCTGCCCTGCTGAGCCCGCCAAAAGTCCCATTCTGCAAACGGTGCTGCACCAGTTGAGTAGTCCTCGACTTACGACCGGTTGAGTAGTCCTCGACGTACGACCAGTTGGGGGTCGCGGCATTAAAAAGGTTGAGAACCACTGTTCTAGAGCTTTTGGAATGTATAAAAATGAAATGTTTAGTATTATTAATTTGGGTTGTGCGAAATTCAGCCATTCAGCAACTGAATTTTCTTTAGAACTCTGTGTTCTCTCTTTAGAATTTCAGAATGTCTGCTCTGGAGGTAGTTTAGCAGTTCTCATAAATCTCCTGAATCAAAAATAATTCAACCTTCTGGACACAACAAACCTGTTAGGGGCTCAGATCACCATTAGATTATCTAAAAATGTTTTTGGCTTGGAGGTTTTCTTTTTAGAAACTGCCAATTGCCCTCAGAATGGTAAGGTCTGGAGAAGCTTTGGCCTTATCCAGAAAAGAAAAGAAATTATCCAGAATGCTGCATTCCAAATGTGAGTTTAATATATCTATATTGCTAATGATTTGAACTTGTATGGCATATTCAGTTATAGATGTTCTGCTTTTCCTCTTCATTGTCCACATATTTATTTGTTTATCAAATTTGTAAATCTACTGGACAGTCTCTCAGATCTCCTCTCAAAGGTTATCTGATTATCTGGGACAGATTTAGGGTGAATAAAGGTACAATGGCACAGTTAATTCCAGATGCTGTTTTACCAATTAATGGATGCCTTTGGATTCAATTCTGTATCTTCATTTTTGTTTTGTTTTTATCCAGTCATGATTAGATAAACTTGAAGGCAGATTGACTGAACTATGAGTCGCCAACCAGGCTGCAAACCTTTTAGTGCATTGCTTTTTATTTTCTAGAATATTTTTATTTCATTTTATTCCACACACATACTTTACGCCCATGCACTCCTATTGGGATTTAAGAGTTAAATTCAGCACTGTGTTTAAGGCTTAATTTATTTACCTCTATAAATGTCTCTAGAGTAGTTTTCCCCAATCTGGCATCACCTATGGGTGTTGTATTACAGCTTCTTTAAATTCACAACCAGCGGACTGATTATGGCGAGGATATGGCTGTATCTGAATGACAAAAAACAGCTGATAACTTTTTTTATAGCAGTGACGGTCTGTCATGGTTCCGACAGATGAAACCCTTCAAAAGAACTTGGATGCATTGTTTACCTTAAAGAATCTTTTATTCGGGAAATAAAGTATCGGCACTACATAGTTGAACCCAAAAACTAAATTCCCCTCCCCTGGATACAAAGTAACAAAGTACAATTCCCACCTGCAATAAACAGTCATAAATCACATTCCCCAATTTGCTTGAAGCTTGGGCTTCCTCCCCAGCTCTCCAGTCCGCCAAAACGCTATCAGCTCTAGGCCCAGGGTCCTTGGGTTATTATTGTTATGATTAGCTGGACTCTCATCCCTATCCCCCCTCCCAGCATCAACTAATTTGGTGGCCAGCCCCACTGCTACTGCTGCGTTCCCAACGGTTGCGCACCTCCTGGCAGCTGTATTATCCCTGGTTGCTGCAAGGTCCCCAGCTGCTGCTGCACATTCGGGGGCTGTAGCTACCCCCAGTGCTGTTGTTGCACCGTCAGCAGCTGTTGGCTTCCCAGCTGTGGGGGTTGTGGCATTCCCCATTGCGGTAGAGGCCTTGGACTGAGCAGCTGGTAGGCACGTCGGTCTGGGCTTTGCTATTCTGGTGACGGCTCGGGCTCTTGTGTCACTGGCGGCGATCTGGGCTTCTGGAGGGGCGACAGCGATCCAGGCTCCCATTTCCGGAGCAGCGACTGGGGCTTTCCCTCTCCAAGAGGCTGGAGGCTATTGTAGGTGGCTTCGTGGACAAAGAAGCCACTTACCCTGAGCAGGTGGGGCTGGGCTTCCCCTCGGTATGAGCTGGTGGCTGCCTCGCCGATCATCATGATCGATCGCGTATAGAGAACAGGAGGGTTGTTCCCCACTTCTCATCTCTAGCTCCTCAAATCTCTCCACCAACTTCTCCACTGATTGACTACAGACTACAGACAGGTACTTCGACTCACCAAAGTCCTCAGCGATAGTTGATTTCGTGGCTCTCCATCAGTCCGGGGAACGCGACTTGTGAGAAGCCCCTCTTTGCAGCTCAATCTCGTCCGCCTTCAAAGTACTTGATTGTGGCAAGGCCATCTCGAGGTGTCTGGAGTCTCCACTGGATAAAGTCCAGTCCAACACCCAGATCAGTTGTCCCCACATCTTGGGTCTTGCCCCCATCTGGGAGACCTGAAAAGATTCCTTCTCTGCTGGCACGCTGGCCTGCACTCCCTCCTCTGAGGCAGCAGCCACTGCCGGGGTGGGTGCCCCTTCCTTTTCCATGTTAAAATCTTCCCTGAATCTTTGTCGGTCTATCCCTCAACTCTAGGGACAGCGACTGGAGCTCGGGACCCCAGAGTGGATAGGTAAAAATTGCAGTTTTGGGGTTAATGTCATGGTTCCGACAGATGAAACCATTCAAAAGAACTTTGAGGCATTGTTTACCTTAAAGAATCTTTTATTCTGGAAACTAAATCAATCTGACCATAGCTTTGAGGAGATAGCCACCTATTTTGACAAATGAAGGAACATGTAAATTATTCCCAGAAGTAATTTAAAACTCATTAGCATATTTGAAGACCTTTTCATTCTGCTTTAAGGGATGCACACTAGACTTAAATTTTATTAAAGATGAAACACTTGATTTAGAAATGTGAAATTCCCATCACCCTCCCAATACTGCAAATATTGAAATCATGTGATTTTGAACATTTTGTTGTATCGCTCTGTCTTCTTAATAAATTGTGCAACTCATAGAAATTACAAAGTTATTCTATCAAAAATAATGCTAGAATAAATAATGAAGGAAAATAGAACATATTAACATTAAAGAGACAAATGATTATGCATTTCAAGCTAGAGTAATTTCTTTTTTAAAGAAAAAACAAAAGAATAATAAAATCTTTCCTTTTTTTAAACATAATACATTTATTAGAAATTTGAGTTTATTCTAAGCTTTACTTTATGCATGTATATTATATTGCTTTACTTATTTTATATGATCTCACTGTTAATATTACTTAATGAATGCACACTACCAGATCGTATACTTTTTCTTCGAACACTTCGAAGATAATTACGATAAAGCATAACACTGATAACTCGGGCCTGAAATTGTTTAGAAACTAGGTAGTAAAGGATTATATCTAGACATGTGCTGAGATTCATCAGGAAGGTGGTAAATGCTCCCCAAGGGTTGTAACTTGCTTCTCCATTTTGGAGCATCAGAAATGTAAAACAAATGTGAAAAGGCACAAAACATAAAAGCACTTGGATAATTAGTGTTACAATGATTCTGATCGATCTTTCTTTAGCCTTTGGTTTCAGCTTGGAAGTTCTTCCACGAATTATACTATAAATAATGACTAGATAACAACCAAGCATATTAAATATGGGAATCAAGAAAAAAAAAATTAACCGAGAAAAATTTAATACATTGACTTCCTTTAGGTAGATAATATCCATCATCTTTATGCAGGTAGTGAAATTTGAAGTTTTGTCTGGATCAGAATATAAGAAAAGCAGTGGAGAAGTTGTCACAAGCGTTAAGATCCAAAGTCCTATGCAAGCCATCAGAGCTTTATTTGTGTTCTTGAGTTCCTTGGCATATTTGGGTTGAACGACAGCCAGACATCTATCAATGCTTATAAAAGCTAACAGCCATATTGCAATGCTGGGGTAAAAAATAGTGAAAGCACTAAGAATCCGGCAGAAGACATCTCCAAAGATCCAAGAGCGTTTCCCATAATAATGCATTCGAAAAGGCAAGGAGAATATAAGCAACAAGTCAAGCAACGCAACATTCATCATGTAGATAGTTATAGTTGTTTTCTTCTTGGTGGTACAGCTGAAGACCCAGAGAGCTGTAATGTTTACAACTAAGCCAATTGTAAAAATGAAGCTGTAGAAGACGAGTGATGAAATTCGGTATTCCTCAGGATAGCTATTTTCAACCATTGTAATTAGACTTTGATTGTAGTTATTCATAACTTTTTAATATGTTATCTAAAAATAAATTAGAGAAAGATCAAGTTTAGTTACTGGTTAGAATGGTTTTGCATTGTAAGGATCACTGAGAATCAGACAATTCCACTACATGCTGTACAGAAGGTACATTAGAAAAATTTAGTGAATTAATCTTCAAAAACATGATTCTCGGTATTATGTTAAATTGAGAACTAACCAAGCAGTTAGTGTAGTTTATATGGGCCTGAGGTTTGAGTTTGCTATAAAAGAATACCAGCAAGTTTTATTTTATTTATTTATTTGTTAAATTGCTGCCCATCTTGCCATGAGGCTACTCTGAACAGCTTACAACAATAAAATGGAAAAAAGATTAAAAATATAAATGTAACAATAGCAAAGGAATAAACAATACAAATAAAAAATGAAAGTACAATAATATGAAATTAAAAAGATGGACGGAGAAGGAGCAGGAAGCACAGGATAGGAGAGTGGGGAGAAACCTCATCCAGGGGGCAGGATGTTCCAGAATGCCAGGGCTACAGCAGAGAAGACTGTTCTTCTGAAACTTCTCTGTTGTTCCTTGACTGATGGGGTCCTCAGCAGGCCTCCTCTGCTGGCACAAGTAGGGCGGGGTTGTCTTATCAGGACGAGATGGTTCATCAAGTAGTCTGGGCCTATGCCATGGGAGGGCTTTAAAGGTCATAATCAGCACGTTGAACTGTACCTGGAAGCAAACAAGCAGCCAATGCAGTTTGCGAAGCAGTGGTGTAATATGGGTCATTCTATGGGCCTCCAAAGACTTCTTGTACTGCCACATTTTGTACCAGTGAAAGCTTCCATGTAGCCCCACATAAAGTGCATTGCAATAATTTAGACAAGATGACTAGGGCTTGAGTGACTGAGGGCAGGTAGTCCTAATTCATGGAAGGCTGCAACTGGTGTACAAACCAAAGCTGTGCAAAGGCTCCCCTAGTCACAACTACTCACCTGATCTTCAAGCAGGAGTCGCGAGTCCAAAAGAATCCCTAAGTGAATAGAGTAGTGCAACCCTGTCCTGAACTAAGGATGACAAACACTCAGATCCTGAGGCTCCATGCACCCAAAGCCATTCAGTCTTACTAGGGTTGAGTTGTAGCCTATTGTCCCCCATCCAGGCCCCTGCAGCTTCCAGACATCATGAGAGAGTAGCAACAGCATCACTCAGGCCACAAGATGTGGAGATGTATAGTTGAGGATCATCAGCATATTGATGATATCTCAATCCATGGTGATGAATGATCTCACACAGCAGCTTCATATAGATGTTAAACAAGAGTGGAGAGAGTACCGAGCCCTGTGATGCACCTTAAGAGAATAGCCAGGGGCTGGATCTCTCATTCCCTGTCAACACTGATTGGGAGTGACTTTGGAGAAAGGAGCTAAACCAGCACAGAACTATGCCATCCAGTCCTAAGCTCCATAGTTGGCCCAAAAGGATACCATGGTTGATGGTATTGAAGGCTGCTGAGAGGTCTCTGTCTCATAGCCGGGCCTGAAACCTGGCTAAAAGGGATCTAGGAAATCTGTATCATTCAGCATCTTGTGAAGCTCCAAGCAAGCACCTTTTCTACCACCTTCCCTAAAAAGGGGAAATGGGAAACTGGATGAAAATTGTCCAGGCAGGTGGGATCGAGACTTAGGACCAACAGGATCAAACCATTCCCAGATTACAGAGCAAAACCTTTCCCCAGGTATTTCACAAGGACCTGCACTACACTTGGAATCCAACTGGGAACGAAACTAAGTGATTTTACTGTTTATAACACACACCCACTGCCATACTACATCTTCCAGGCAGAAATGAACTATTTAGGCAATCTAATAGAAAATCCGAGAACTTCTAAAAAGGTAGTAGAAAGTAGGAAGCCATAGTTGAAGAAGTTCAACACCTTTGGTTCAAGAACTCTGTGTGTGTGTGTGTGGGTTTGTGTGTGTGCACGCGTGCGCGCGCGCCAATTTTGCATTTTTAAATTTTTATTGCTATGTGATATAACAGACTGATGGCCTTTTTCTAAGCAGGCTGGTTTATTTCAGTTGTCAACGCTGTAAACATTGGATGTTCTAGCTCTGACAACTGATGAAATTGCAGCCATCTTCTCTTTTCTTTTAACATGCTTTTCCTGGTAGTTAGAAATCAGGTACAGAAGGAGGGGGTTGGGATGAAAGCTCAAGCTCAGCTAGCCATAACAATAACACTGCTTTGTGGAAACCCAAGGATGAGCTGATAACGTTTTGGTGGGCTGAGGAGCTGGGAAGACAGCCTGCATTTTAGGCTAACTGGAGAATGTGAAAGGCTGAGCGCCAATGAAGTGAGGCCTTTGAACTATGGTGCTGGAGAAGACTCCTGCGAGTCCCCTGGACTGCAAGGCGATCAAACCGGTCAGTTCTAGAGGAGATCAACCCTGATTGCTCTTTAGAAGGCCAGATCCTGAAATTGAAACTCAAATACTTTGGCCACCTAATGAGAAAGAAGGACTCACTGGAGAAGAGCCTAATGCTGGGAAAGATAGAGGGCCATAGAAAAAGGGGACGACAGAGAATGAGGTGGCTAGATGGAGTCACTGAAGCAATAGGCGTGAGCTTAAATGGACTCCAGAAGATGGTAAAGGACAGGAAGGCCTGGAGGAACGTTGTCCATGGGGTCGTGATGGGTCAGACACGACTTCGCAACTAACAACAACATTGGGGGTGGGAGTTGCACTTTGTTACTTTGTATCCGGGGAAAGGGAATTTAGTTTTTTGGTTTAATTATGTAGTGCCGATACTTTGTTTCCTGAATAAAATGTTCTTTGAAGAAGAATTTTGCCTTGAAGTTCTTTTGATGGGTTTCATCTATCGGAACCATGACATCAATCTCTTTCATAATTGAAATTGCTATATTGGCTCTTGTTTTCACTGTCTACAAGACATAGAACTGAGAGAATTAACTTTCATAGATCTATCTAAGGTGGGTTTTCTTAGAGAAGATGAAAATCTTATTAAGCAACTGAAGGATCAAAGACAAACCCACATTAAGAGAATTTATGGGGTTTTAGTTGAATTGGACTCAGAAACGGAACTAATTAAAGATTGTATGATTAGATGGGCGCAGAACTTTGGTGAGCCAGTTTCATTGGACACCTGGGAAACTATTTGGGTGAGAAATGTCAAATTTACTCAAGCACAGAATTTAAGGGAGAATTTTTATAAAATGTTTTATAGATGGCACCTTGATCCACAAAAAATGTCTTACATGTACCCTGACGTGCAACCTAAATGCTGGAGATGTGGTTATAAGGAGGCCTCCTATTATCATATTTGGTGGTCATGCAGAGAGATAAAAGCACTTTGGATCAAAATATGGGGAATATCCAGAGAATTTTTAGAAGGAGGGTAAAATTTACTCCGCAATTATTTTTGTTAGGTATTGTTACAGATTGTGATACAAAGGAGGTTGTATTGATGTTAAATTTGATCACAGCCGCGAGGCTGTTAGTTGGACAATATTGGAAGAAGGAATCTTTGCCTACATTGCAGGAATGGTTTTTTAAAGTAGCTTATCTGGCGGAAATGGCAAAGATTTCGGCTTTCTTAAAGCAACAAACGCAAGAAAAGTTTTTTGCTATCTGGGACAAATGGATAAAATTTATACAATTTAGATTGGGTATACAAAAATATCATATAGCTTTTTCATAAGTTTTATTTTTATATATATTATAGATATTTTTTTATATATATAAATATAAAGTTTTTAATTTAATTTTTATTTTTTTTTTTATTTCTTAAGCCTATATTCTGCTCTGGGAAGCTCAGGGGGGGGGAAGGGAGGGTTTTTGGGAGGGGTGTGGGGTGGGGTTTTTTTTTTTTATATATGTATTGTTTAATTTTTTTTTCTTTTGTATATGTTGTTTTTTGTTCTGTATTGTTCTTGTTTTTCTTGTAAAATTTATAAAACTTTTAATAAAAATAAAAAAAAAAACAAAAAAAAAAATAAAAAAAAAAGACATAGAACTGAGAGAATTAACTTTCATAGATCTATCATCCACCTTTGCCTTCTATCTAGGCCTTAAATAGGAGCTATATATCTATTTTTTATAGTTACAGTATGCTATCTTAGCACTATATATTTAATCTGCTCCTTTTTAAAAAAAAAAGTATTAAGGTGACAATTACCAATTTTAGCCTTTTGAAACATTTCATAGGGTCCAGTCCCCAACATGACTTAGTAGATGGAGAGTTCTGTCTTATTCTTTTACAAAATATTTTAAAAAAATAATTATTAAGATAAGAACAATCAATTATAACATATGCTGGACTGATACATTTACAGCATCTACTTTTTGTTTTTAGAAGCATTTGAATAGGCAACTGAAATTGTACAATAACGTAGACAATTCAAAAGAAGAATGCATTATATCAATTACTATTTAAGTGTTCTGGCATAATTAGTCATGTTGCATTTACCATAAGCAAGTATAACTAAGAAATTACTTTCTTTGGGTTGAATCAATTTTGGCCTAATCTGGCGTTCTTGACAAGAATCCCAGAACCAAGTGCATTTGCTGGTTCACTAGAAACAGGGCAATTAACCTGTCTTAATCTGTCTTTCAGTTTTTATATTGTCGCAACCAAAATTGGATATAATATTCCAAGTGTGGTCTTACCACAACGTTATAAGGCCATGCTTGGAATATTGCATCCCGTTTTGGTTGCCATGATATAAAAAAGTTGTTGAGATTCTAGAAAGCGTACAGAGAAGAGCAACAAAGATGATTAGGGGACTGGAGGCTAAAGCATACGAAAGAATTAAGTATGTCTAGTTTAATAAAAAGAAGGACCAGGAGTGACATAACAGTGTTTCAATATCTAAGAGGCTGCCACAAAGAAGAGGGAATCAATCTATTCTCCAAAGGATCTGAAGGCAGGACAAGAAGCAATAGATGGAAACTAATCAAGGAGAGAAACAATCTAGAACTAAGGAGAAATTTTCTAACAGTGAGAACAATTAACCAGTGAAATGGCTTGCCTTCAGAAGTTGTGGGTGCTCCAACACTGGAGGCTTTTAAGAAGTGATTGAACATCCATTTGTCTGAAATGGTATAGAGTTTCCTTCCTGAGCAGGGAATTGGACTAGAAGACCTCCAAGATCCCTTCCAACTCTTTTATTCTGTTAGTGCTCTAGAAAAAGTGCTCAGCTTTTCTAATTAATAATATCGCCTAAAAAATCTCTGCAATTGTTAAATACAAGCAATTTGATATATTAAATATTAGTCAATTATCCATAAATAGCTCCCTTTCTGAAGATCTAGGGATTACTTTTATCAGCTCGTTTTCTTTCATGTAAATGACTCTTGGTAAAGATTAATCTTATCTCCTCTAACTCTAAAATAATTAACTAAGACAAATGATGTTGTGAAGATGGAGGGTATTTGAATTTAAAATGATGCAAATTCATCGGGTAACATGGTTTGAAAGAGGAAGTGGTCAGTCATGTCGAAAGAGAAGCTGTGCTTCCCTTGCTCTTGCAGGTGGGTCACAGGTATTTGCTGCTTTATATCTGCACTAACTCACCTTCCCCTTGGCTTTTGTGGATGAAATAGAAAAGAGTTTACTCTTTCTTCATCATTCCTGTGTTTCCACTGCTCAGAGAGTAAAATATGTGTTGTTTTTGAACACGGCCACTTTCTACTCTTACAAAGGTTACGGCCAGATCTGTTAGGTGCTGCCATTCCACTTTATCATGATTAAACTTGAAAGTGGGGCAATGACCATTTCAGAAAGCTCTGAATGATGAAGCACAGCAAGACTATTAAAAGGACAAAGAGAAATAGAAATTAATTACCTTCTCTTACTATACTCAATTTTAAAAGATTTGCAGCGATCACAAAAATAGCTACTGTACTACAGTCTTTATTCCAATTTAGAAACTGTTGAAATTCCACTGTGTATGGTATAGTAGCCAACTTCTCCTCTAATAGCTTCCAAAAGTATTGTGTCCTCTCCTGTAAGAATGGTCCTATAAAGCTTTACTCTACATTTTCTGGATGAGATCCTTACTCACTATTAGTGGCTATGTAGATTAGTATTCGTTGGCTTATTTTAATGGATCTTAGGTTACACAAGAAGATCCTGTTCATATGACATGCTTGCATACACTTGTTTATAGAACTATGGACTTAACATGCAGTTTTCTGGATTATCATAATTCAGTATCTAAATGATTTGCACAACAGCCTAAATTGAGATTTTCTGGTATGTGGTTCATGTATTCTGTGAACTTAGCCAGCACAGTAGGAATCTCCACTGCTTTGGATTCAATTCCAGAGTCTACAGGGCATATAAAAGAAATAGTTGCTATAATGAAATACAAACAGCTACTTTCACATCCTTCAAAACACCTTTTTGAAATCAGATCAAAAATACTATAAAGGGCTGTTGTGCAAATCCTGCAGTATGTTATGTGAATATAATTTGTGGTTGGCTGAACAGACTTGGAGGTTGTTAGTAATTTTCACTGGCTGAGATGGTGAAAGAAAGTGATAGTGAAGCTATTCATCCACTGTTGGGTTCTTACAAAGTGCTGGCTATATTTGCAGGAATGCTAAATCAAGATTAATTGTTCCTTGATTTGCTGAATAAATACAAATTTAACTATGAAGGAATTATTAAGAATTGAACAAATAAAATAAAACCATTATTTGAAGAGTTTTGAAGTAAGACAAATGGATATAAAGAAAACTAATGTAATGGATCTTCAAATATTTATTAGAGTTTTATCCTGTCTTTATTTTTTTTATAAATAACTCAAAGTGATGAACATATTTAGTACTCTTTCCTCCTCCTATTTTTCTCACAACAAATCCTGGATGGTGTATTGGCCTGATTCAGCTTCCATTCTGAATCAAATATTCTGCATTGTATGGAAATGTCAAAATCTCATCTGCTATCCTTACATTTTTAGGAATATCTAAAATGGTACTCATGTATGCATCCTTACATGTGTATTACATATACCCATGTAAGAAATAGCTGTATTTTCCCTTTTCAACCCATTAGTAATTTTCAGCTTGTGTACTGGTACCAGTACCTATTTATTTAAACAGATAAGTGGATTTATTTTAGTTTATTTGTACCTCACATATTCATTACTTCAGCTGTTGTTTACTTCATCTTGATGGGTTTATAAAAACCACAGGGATTTTTTGGCTTGCATACAGTTTTAAAAGATAACATTCATTTGATATATAATTCTGTAATAAAGTCTTTAGTAATGTTCCATTAATTTGAAAACATAATTCAAGTTTAAAATTTGAAAATACATGTGTGCATATATGCTAATGCATTAAATAGTTTTCTTACCTTTAGCTTTTCAGTGATGTCTTTCATCAACCCAGGCAAAAGATTTGTTTTTGTCTTA